AATCAATTTGACTGGATGATCTTGTTGAATTGTAAAGTGCCTTAATTCCATTAAGTTTACTTCTATAGCTCCTAGTGGTGCTATAGAAGTAAACTTAATAGAATTGAATTTAGTAGTAATGGCAAGCGGCGGTACTTCCCATATACTACAGTGAATAACTGGAAGAAAGTAATAATAAAAAATATTTTATTTAGCTTAAAATTTAATTGTGTTTCTTTGCAAACATGTTTGCGATGCACAAAAGTATTCTTAGCCATGGAATGAGACGACTTTTTTCAGGGACACCCCTGATTTTCTTCCTGCAAAGTTGTAGATTTCACAAAGCCCATTCCTATAGATCATTTTTTCTAGTATTTGAAAACTAAAACATGTCACTATGATTAAAATAGTTTATACATTTTAAACATATATTTGTAAAAGGTTTAATCTTCATTTGGTCTGTGAGAGACTACTTGTTATAAAGTAGTCAATTTTATTCTTGCATATTTCAGCCCGTTTAAGAAATAAGAGAGCAAACGTTTGCTCTCAGCATTTATCACTAGAACAAAACTCACCTGTTCTGAGATACAATCGGTAAAGAAAGAATCCTCCTACAGCAGCGACCGACAAAAGAGGCACAAATATCAGAAGAACCAAGGCCCATGTTGGAAACGTCTCTGTAAAAACATCAACATTATAATTAATATAATACACACACATTGTTTCACACTTCTTTGACTTCTATTCATACTGGATTCATTTCCATGGACTAACCTAGACCCTAAACCTGACCTAAACTCAATTCACTCCTATGTCTTAAACCAAACCCCCTCTCCAAGAAAACTTCCAGTCATTGATCCCCAGAAGTACCTACAGTGGGGAGAACAAGTATTTGATACCCCACCCTGGAGCCAGGCCTGGGGTTGGGGTTCGTTGGCGAGTGCGTGGTGGTCAGGTTCTTCCTCGCGGGTCCCTGCCGGGCCCAGCCCGAAGGAGCGACGCAAGGTGAGGTGTTCCAGGCACGTCCCACCGGGAGGAGGCCCAGGGGACGACCCATGACACGCTGGAGAGACTACGTCTCTCGGCTGGCCTGGGAGAGCCTAGGGCTTCCCCCAACAGAGCTGGAGGAGGTGTCAGCGGAGAGGGAAGTCTGGGAGTCTCTGCTTAGTCTGCTGCCCCCGCGACCCGGTTCCGGATAAAGCGGGAGACGACGACGACGACGAGTTGGATAAGACGGTTCTCAGCGCCTCAATGTTGCGGTAAATTGAAGTACACACAAATTTTAGTTTTGTGTGTAAGGCAGCATAAAAAAGAAATTGACACATCCACCCACAGGGCTAAGCCCCTGATCTCCTAGAATCCTAGATCTGCCCCTGCTCGTGATAATTATGGCAGCATTTAAACGCCAAACCTCGGCTTATATCTGGAGACTTGCCAGCAAGTTCCCTCCTAAACCTTGCTGCAGGAGGATGCCCTGGTCTCTAATCCTTTGGGCAAACTATCCCTTTAAACTTATTCAAATACATAAACTTTTTGGGGTTTCTTTTTCTGTTAAAGAAAAACACATTTAACACTTCTTTTCATTTCACACTGCAGATTTTTCTAACAGCCTCCATCTGTATGAACAGCTCTGACCTTCTTTGACGTGATGTAGAATGACTCTCTGCCTTAGGATGTCCTGGTCTCTGTA